GAAATTGAATGGCTTGGTTCTCATCTCAGTTATGCTATGCTTATCTTGTAGAAATCACAGGAGTTTTTCTTGATTGAAAAGTGCAATCAGAGTTCAGGCCTCATCCTTGATGAGTAGTCAACAACGCAGCCATTTGAATTTGGGCATTGTATCTTTTCACAATAGCGGAAGTTAGGAGTAGCATTGTGGAGACCAGTTGAAGGTGTGTTTAAAATCAGAATTGGATCTGTGATTTTAGATCTAAGACTGCAGTCTCATCATTTTTGCAGAAGCTTAGGGAAGTCTGACAAACTGATGACATAGATTTTCAGGGCTGAGTGTTGTTTTGTGTTTTTAGCAGGATCATAGACTGCTGTTTAAATTGAATCCTCATGTCAAGAACAATATGTTTCATGTGGGGAAATGGGCTGAGTATTTAAAGAGTTTCACTAGGGCTGCCAGGACAGCTTTTCTTTTGACTCCAGCAGTCGTCTGTAGGAAATGATCTAATAGCTCCAAGATCTCAGTCCCTGTCAGTCTGATTAGATGTAGATATATGGTCATCACTAAATGTATGTTGTCACTAAAGCTAGTTGTAAAAGGAAAAATTGTTCAGAAAAGCTTGGTGATTCTCCTCTCACCTTAATTTATCATCAGTATTTCACTTTGACAGAAATTTTCTCCCCAGCTGTTTTTTATTGCAATATTCTTTTAATCTTATGAGCTCCTGGCAAGTTGCCACAGCAGTCCCTTCACTCTACAGAGTTTGGACACTTGCCATCACAAATGATGATCATTTGACCAGTTGTGTTTTGGTTCACATAGCAGGGTTGTTCTTACATATTAAAGCTCAGCAGGTGTCAGTTGGATAGTTTTAAACCTATTCTAGACATAAAAAAATCAGACCATAACTGGCAATGAAAAGTGCTTTCCTGAATTTTTTTATAAGACACTTCAACAGAGACACTATAAAGTTTATAGATAAGGATGTAAACTTTGGTGCAAAATTGCCACAGCAGCACTTTCACAAATGCCAGACCATGTGACACCAGCTTCTTTCCCTGTTTCATTTCGTACTTGAAACTTGGTACACAGACCGCAGATTTGTCAAAGCTTTAGGTAAACAGAGGAGGCAAATGTAACATTGTGTCAGGTGATATTGCAGTTTTCATCCTGAAGCCATGTGCAGTTCAGTTGTACTGGCATTTCAGTCAGTCATCAAGAATGTAAATCTCTAAGGCATCCCAATCTTCACATAATCTTGCAAAATAAGCTCTTTATCAGTGTACTGACACTGTTGTGTGCTTATCTTTGCGAGCTGATAGAGTATTCCAATTATTTACGGTCAGAGACGTGGTCAAATACCACAAAACATTATACTGAAATCCTTTTTTAATAGTCATGACTCAGATTGATTTATGTGTGTGTATGTTGCAGTGTTTGCTTATGTATTGCTAACAGTGTAAATCCTAATTCCAGAGTTACTGGGAAAAAACCATCTAAACGGACGAAGTCAATCAACGGGTCCCTTTATATCTTCAGGGGCCGAATAAATACAGAAGTCATGGAGGTGGAGAATGTGGAAGATGGAACAGGTAAGAGACCAAATACTGTCTTTTAGCGACACAGCAAGTCCAGACCTTGCATTGGAAGTTGGTGCAAAAGTACTCGTCCATCTCCTTTAATGAAATCTGGAGTAAGCTATGTGACTTCTGATGCCCTCATTATTAGACCACGTTATATAGTTGAAAGACTGGATATGCTTTCATGCACTAGTCCTTCATTCTGAAATGACCTTGTGAAGAGTGTGTACCCAGAAGCTTGTCTATTTTTTCTCCTAATCCAAGTTAATTTAGTAAAAGATACTTTATCTTCTTTCCATCCTTTCTTTTCTTGCATCTTAAGCCATTACAGCTATAATAACAGAACTTCTGGATCTTCTTCGCATTTAGAATACTACCAAATATTAGTCTTAGCATCAAATCAGTAGCATGGAATGTGGCCATGGATGAAATATGGGAATATTGTTGTGTTACAATTCTTGTGTTCTGACACAGGCAGGAAGACTGTATGGGTTTCTTATTTCATCCACAAAGGCCACAGCAGCCCCTGCTCCTATTGCAATAAGTCAGGAATTAATATTATGTCCTTTAAACAGACTTAAAGAGTTTCCATGTCCTGTGGACAAAATTCCTTACAGTGCAAAAAGTTACTGTGTCCCCAGAAAGTTCAGAAGAAATAACCTGAACAAACATTATAGACTTTTTCACTGATGTCATTGTATTTAAAATATTTTTAGTTCTTCTTCTGAGGTGAAATTACAAAGTGTCACTCTTAGGACTGAAGCATTCAGTCAGTTTGAAAAGCCTAGCCTTAACTTCTGTTAAGATTTGTACTTCCAGAGTGGTAAGTAGCAACTAGTCACATTGACAGTCGGTAAGACTGATGCACGAGGAACATCTTCTCGTGCACGAGAAGTCACGCTCTTCAAAGAGGAGAATTTTAATGAAGGTGTCCCACACTGATTTGATTGAAATAGCAGGGCTGCTATTCACCGTGTGCATTGTGCTTTGGGTTTTTACAGCAGATTACCACAGCAACGGCTACACTGTGACAAATGGCTGGAAGATACACAACACAGCCAAAAACAAATGGTTTGTCTGTATGGCCAAGACTGCAGAGGACAAACAGAAATGGCTGGATGCTATAATCAAGGAAAGGGAGCAGAGAGAGAGTAAGTGGATAATGTATTTTCTAATGCACTGAATGAACTTGTGTATAAAGGAGAAATGTATATGCATGTATAAGGATCTGAGAGAAAAAGAAAAGGTTGCAGTTTTTCCTCCATGGGCAGAATTGAAATCTGTCCTTAATGACAAAGAAAATCAGGTAATTGATAACAAATATTTATGAATGCATACCTTGGAGTTTTTATGGACTTGTGTCAGTATGTTTATAAAATATTTTTATTTACCAGAGTCAGTTTCTTTGATGCATTGGATTACTGTGAAAAAAAATATGTGTAATCAATTTCATTTTTTTGTCGGTATTTGTAAATAAGATAAAATTGTGTTGTGTCTATCAGTAAAAGGAAACAAAATCCAGCTTGCAGCCTTTTTCCAAAGGCAGTGACACAGACTTGTTCTCACAAACTCAGCCTCCATGGTCTTGAAATAAAAAGAACAGTTCATCGAAAAAAACTGTAGAAGTACTACACTTAGACTGAGAACAGTGACAAATGTATGCAGATGTTGTCACTTTTGTCTTTTCTTGTGGAATTAAACAAAAACTAAGCTTATCCTGAAATAGTGTTGTACAATAGAAGTCATGAATCAGGGTGGGTGACAGAAGTTCTGAGTTCCTTTAGAAGTCAGAACTATCTTTCACAAGTGAACCTGTTTCCCTGCTTGCTCAATGGGACCAGTAATAGCTCATTGCCAGCGAAAATGACACTTATTTTAAAACATTCTGTACCTGACTTTTAGAAGTGGTTCCCTGCTCTGCACATGCAACTCCGTTAAAGATGTAATTGCTCATCTAATATTGTAAGGGGTCAGTTTGAAACACTTTTTTAGTAGTGTGTTTTCAGAACTTAAACTTGCTAAGCAATAAAGCTTTAGATTTTTAAAGTGGTTTTAAAAAGTTACGGATCTGTCACTGAGGTTTAATGAAAGCAGAGTATCTAAATAATTTGATGTCCTTTGAAATCCAAGTCTTACTTTTTATGTTACAAAATTTTGCATGTAATCTGCTAAACACAACACACATTGAAGTGTTATTTGTTACCATGGAATATAAAACATTTCTAACATACTTTATCATATGTAAACCCCAACACACCTTTTGATGATAGCAAGGACATTACCTTCAAAATGTACATTGGGCATGGTGTAAATTCAAAAGAGCTACCTGAAAGCAACAGAAAAGATCAGTTTTTATTTTTGCTCATAGTTCAGTTCTGCATTCCACTCTACTGTAAGATCATCCTGATCTTCCCCATGTTTGTTTTTTTTTAAATAAAAATATTTTATTTGTATTTTATTAAAAATGCATTTCTTGGCTCTTTTACCCTCAGAGTGCTAAATCATATCTGTAAAAGATCCAGTGAGTCTCCATTTCATAGTGGGTTTTCACTTTGTGAGGTCACTAGTGCTCTGCGGAATTTCCTGTGCCTCAGGTAAAATGTGTGAGGAGAGAGAAGGTTCAATAAGAAGTAAAAAGACAGGACTAGAAAAACAGACCATATGTGAACAGGGAGCTTGAGAAGATGAGGAGGTGACCGAAATAAATATTAGGAAGGGAAAATAACTGTGCCTTAATAGAAAGTTTCTCAAAGTTTTCCATGCAGCATTGGCTAGTAAGAGTGTTTTTTTTTCTGATGCTTTTTGTCATATAGTTTTATGATGTGGCAGCTGATGACAGGCACTTGGGATAAGCATAGATATTCTGGCAGACATTCCAGACCTTATTGGAAAATCTCCCTTGGATCAGAGTCCTTACAAAGTCACAGAGATATCAGTGTTTGGATTAGAAAGCCTGGTGAGATTCCCAATTCTGTAGGATGAGTTTGGTAGAATGTGCATTCCAGTCTGCCATTTACATCAGAGCTTGGGGAATTCAGTGATGTAAGACCAGCAGGAAGCATGTATACTCTTACACAGGCTGTTTTCTATCACAAATTCGCGTTGCAAATTAGCCTTGGCTACATGTGTCAGCGTTCGCGTTGAATTGGGTCACAGTACTGGGGGAAGAGGAGGATGGAAGAATAACGGCAATAAGCCAGGGGATTTGCAGAGCCAAAACTTTTAGCCAGATATTGGACACATGAAAGAAATACTGTATTTGAAAGACAAAATATTGTGCAAGTCTAATTTCTGGAACATGCGTTTCAAGCCTCTAATCCAATGCAATAAGCATTTTCAAAAAGCTAGAAAGTAGCTCTGATGACACAAAAGGCTGTTAATTAACTTCAGTATCTTACTATAAAGCAGCAGGATTTATGTCCAGTTAGGGTGAACTGCTCTTCCCAAAGAATGTACAATTTTCACTTTCTAGCCTTACACTGATCACTTAAATTCTGCCTAATGTCAATCTCTGTAAGAATTAGGCATGTAAGTACAGGACCAATTCAGGCTGCCTGTTTTCAAGCTAATCTTAGAGTTGTCTAAAATCTGTGCCTCTGTTTTGGACTCCAGAGTTGTGTAGATTTGCAAGTTCTAGAATAACAAACCCAGAAAACAAAATGATTTGTTCAGGCTGGAATAGACAAAACATCTACAGCAGCAAACCAACTTTTCTCATGTGCTGTTCTCCTAAAGCAATTTGCAAATCTGAAGGAAGAGTGCCAGAAGATGCCAGCTATGATGACAGTTGTAGCATAGACACTTGTTTTCAGAGATCAGCCTCCTGACTGTAGCAATTTTCAAGTTTACATGAGCTATGTGGAAACTCATACAAAGCAGACCTGAAATTTTCTCTGTATCCAGTTCTTTGTAATTCCTTAGATCATTCAGTATTTCTTTCCTTGCCTGGATAATGTGATTATCAAACTGTACTTTTAGCCCAGGGGTATTAGTAAATAGGCTAATTAAGAAAGGTTGATAAAATAATGTTCCTGACTAGTTTTGATTTATTTGAGGATGTGAATTTGATTTCAGCAGGTTTGTATTTTTGGCTTCAAGTAATAGAACACTCAAAAAGTCGTCTGCTCTGTCAAGCATTTAGCTGCCTTGAACAAGTCTTATGATGGCAGTTATTTCAGGGTCAAAAGTGAAATTGCAGCAGGAAATCAGTTTCAGAAGGTATATGTTTTATCTTGCTTTGGAACTTCTCCATGTTCTGTAAACCATTCTACTTTGTGTGATGTGATGTAACAATAAGTTTAAAGCTTCTTTTCAAAATGTAGAGGAAAAGCTGCAAGCATCTTGGTGGTGCTAAACTGGCCAATGGCAGTTTTGTACTCACATAAATAAATGACCCAATTTCCCCCTTATTTGAAAAATAAGTTGTTTAATTTTTGTGCTTCTGCCATTTTTTTTCTGTTTGGCCTTAGTTTTTGACTATGAGCAAACACTTTTATCTGATGTTTAGGATCTGAAGGAATTTCTACTTTGTATTCCAGGTTTGAAACTGGGAATGGAGAGGGATGCATACGTCATGATTGCAGAGAAAGGAGAAAAGCTGTACCAAATGATGATGAGCAAGAAAGTGAACCTTATCAAAGACAGGAGGAGAAAATTAAGTACTGTTCCCAAGTGTTTTCTTGGCAAGTAAGTGGCATTTGAATTGAAAAGCCCTTTTCATACCAATTAAAAGAATGGACTCTTGATTTTCTGGGGATGGCAGTGTGAGGTCAGATCAGATGTGCATTGATGCAGCTTAATTGAAAAGGCCATAACCCCCATTACAGTTTTGATTTATTAAAATTAATTATTGATTTCTGTTTTAACACCATACACAGTCTGTGTCCTGACAGCTCATTCTATTGTACAGTAACTCAGAACAGCTGTTTCAATTCAGCAAAAGGAGGAAGAAAAAATACCTTACTTCCCACAAGCTCAGGGCTGTTGGTGGCCTAACCTATATCCTCTTTTGTATACGAGCAAATGCTTACCAGGTGATGTTTAAATCCAACAGAACTGTCCAAGTGTCAGGATTGAATTTAGAAGTTTCCTGTTTGTCAGTGTAACACACAAGGAAACCTGATGCATTTGTAAGAAGTATGGGGCTTTATTGGCTGGAAAAAACCCTCTTTCACTCAGGCTATATTTATATTACAAAAAATATTACAAAATTATTCTTAAGAATGACATGTATGAGGCAGAAGAAGAGAGACCCCATGGACAAATCAGATCAGAGATTAGATATGGGAACAGTGGGGCTGTT